GCACTCCACGAGGTTCCTTTCTGCCCAGCTCTCTAGGCTGTGCAGTTCCCTCTGAAGAGCAGCACAGCCCCCCAGTGCACCAGCTGCTCTGGCAAACTTGCTGAGAGTGACTCTGAGCCTTCAGCTAGGTCTCTGGTGAGTAAATTAACACTAGCGGTAGAGGCTGTTAGCCTCCAGTTAGACTTTGCAACACTGATCACAACCCTCTGCTCTTTGCTGTTTGATTGGTTCTCAGTTCACTCTCTGCTCATTTCTCCTGCACTTTCTCAGCTTGCCTATGACAAGCAATGGGAGACAGCATCAAAGCCTCCATGAAGTCAAGGGAAGACAGTGTCCACTACTGTCATCTACCCAGCCAGTGACTCCATCAAGGAAGGTTCTCAGATTGGTTAAGAAAGATTTTCCCTTTGTGGCTCCATGCTGGCTATTCCCGAGCACCTTCTTGTCCTTCATGTGCTTGGAAATGGTATCTGGGATGAACTGTTCACGTCTGTATCTCTCGTACTGTGTATCCTTGGACTGGACCAGTACCCTAGATCTTACCAGTGCTGCGCAGAGATTAAGGGTCATCTCCCTCTGCCTGCTGGCAGTAGGGTGCCTGATGCAGCCCGGGTGCCATTGGCCTTCCTCACGCCAAGGGCACGTTGTAGGCTTGTGGTCATGTTGTTATCCCCCAGGTTCTTCTCTGCAGAGCTGCTTCCCAGCAGCTCGGTTACTCAGTTCTGTCACTCTTCGTGTTTTGATTATCAGTGTTGCTTATGCATGTAGATACACACATTGGTTATTTTAAGTCACATAGCATATTAACTTGATTTTGTCAGTTATGTTTTTGTAAATCTTCACATTGTCTCCAGAAGTGGGCACTGTTACAAAATAGCTGACTTTGTGTAAATGTATGCCTTTGCTGATATTCTAGGAACTCATTTTTGCTCCTACTGTAAACAGATAGTCTTTCCCTGAATATACTGCCAGACACCACATCCTGCCCCATCTGAAACGTGCTTGCAGCAGTTTTATCTCTGTTGCTCTGCTTCCAGCCTTAAACATGACATCACTAGCCACAAAATAGTCTGTGGTCATGAAACATTCCTGCCAAGAAGACTCATATTAAAAAAAAAAAAAAACACACCTCAGGCAGAGAACAGAACACCAATTCACTGTAAACTGGTATTGTAAATTAAACAACCTTGCAGTCATCAGCTTAGTATGCCAAGCACTGGGTTAGCATTAATCGAGCTGGGTGGCTGTGAGGGAGCGCGTGGCGCATGTGGGGATTGCTGGGGAAGGCTTCTCCTGGTCTAGGCCGAGTTTATGTAACCATGTCTGGCTTCTGTTTAATGGTAAATGTTACTATGCCTGGAGAGATCACCCAGTTTCTTTCAAGTCTTTCTTTGTCTCTTTGCTCTCCAATGAAAATAAAGGATTCCATATTGAATTGAGGATATATAAATTACTGTGCAGTCATGACTGGTGAATGTATTGCATTGATTGAACGCAGGGTGTTCTTAGCTGATTGCTAACACTGGGCAACTTCTACTGAGAATTCCCTATGAGCCATAGCTGGTAATCAGAAGTCTGACTGCTATCTTCTGTAATGGAGGTATTTCAGGATAATTAAGTATCTTCCACATAACTATTATATTTACTGTATCACAACTGTATCAGCTAGATGGTAGACTCTTTGGTAGGTGTATTTATAAAGAAACAAAGCAAAAACATTGCTTACGTTCGCTGAAGTTATAGTAGTACTTTTAAGGATGCACTTAATTCTAACAACTGAAGACCCATCAGAATTTTGATTGGGTCTTCTGTTTATTGAAGCATCAGAGGAGAATAGCTTTTTGTTATGATGAACAAACATTTCCAAGGAAGTGATGCAGTGGTAAGTCACTTGAAGGAGTAAGCAGTAATTTGGCTTTGGGGGGGTTCAGTTGAGCTGTCTTGTAGCAGTAATTGTACTGATAAAGTGAAAAATACTACATAACAGGATTACCTGAGCTTGTAACCTGACTATTTAAGCAAGAACGGAAGTAAAGATGCACGAGCAAGTTTCCTAGTATTTTTGTAAGTCGTTTTATGGTATGCAGCAGCTAGTCTGATTAAAATTCTTGTCTTGTATGTATAACCACTTACCAGGAACACTCCTTTAAGAAACATCGTGGCTTGGGATTTCACAGGTAGAGAAGAATTACCAACTAATCTGCTCTTGAAACCATGCTATATTAATGCAGTGCCTACCAAATGGGCAATAGGAATATTACATTTCCAGATGTCTGGGATGTTGTTACCTCTGACTATTCCTCTTTGGTCATGTTAAAATTTCTCAATTTTTGCAGTGCCCGGACTGTTATTTACAGAGTTCTACAGATAGAAGGATTTGCATACATTTGACAGCTACATTTTGAATGATGCATAGGAGATTCAAAATACAGGTGATCAACTGAATGAAACAGTGAAGATCACTGGTTACTGTCTTGGAGAGCAACTTTCCATTTAAAGTGCTGGTGTACCAAAATAAGCAGTTCCAGTAAGCTCATAGCGGGAGGCCGAAGGAAAAATAACTAAGAAAGAGAAATGTAAATTACCTTATAGGAGGGAGCTGTGTGTGGAGGTGAGGATAAAGTTCACTAAAACTAAGGTTATTCAGCCCAAGTGATTTGACGAGGTCACAGCATGGCAAGAGCCATTGGCAGAAACCTCACAGAGATACGTTTTAGTTTTGTGGTCTAGAACATGTAGGTGTTTACTGCATTTGGTTATGGTTCAGGTTGTTCAGATTGAGATCTTAGCTGATACGGCTTTAATCTTCAAACTGCAGCACCACAAAACGTATTTCCTGTCAGCTTGCACATAGCGCATGAGAGAAATAGAAGAATAACTATTTGTTTCCTTCTGCCTGGGTATTGTCTGCCTACCTTGAGCTATCAGGATCCAGGTTATCCTTTTCCTTTCCACAGCATTGGCTTTCAGTAGCTTGGCGCTTACTGTAGGATTCTAGAAATTACACATGTGCATCTCCGCCATGACTTTTCCGTCTTAAGTGGAAAAGATGGAATATAAGTTCTGTTTGATAAGATCCAGTTTATTCCTCATTTTAGAAGTTCTCTAGATTGCACATGTACTTCTGAATCTTTCTGACAACTCTATATAGTTCAGAATAATACATAATTTGGCATAAATAGAGCATTTGGTCAGGGATAGAACCCTCCAAGTGGGCCTACAATACTGAGAAGATGTAGCAGCAGCAGAAATGGATGGAAACATGACTTTTTTTCCTTTTTATTTCTGATATATTATTTGGTTTATTTGTACATCAAATACAAGAATCTGTTTTTATATTTATTAATAATGTTTGTAGCAAATTTGATGGGTTCTTGTACCTGAAAAAGCTCCTTATCTAGGTTGTCGTAGGGCTGCAAATACATCCATGTCCAAATTATTAAAAAGATATCAAAGAGTATGAACAAGTCCTGTGCCATAAGTTATATGCTTAAGTGAATATGCTTAAGTAGATTGCTTACTTAGTATGAAACCTTAGCCTAAAGCTCCCACTGTATGAGGTGACATTAGTAGTTACTAATAGAATAACAGTTGCTTGAGATTTCCATTTAAAGAGCTGTGTTCAGATGATAAGGTTAAAGCAGTTTGTGCTGGAGATTTTAATAGTGTAACTGCTGTGTGCTGAACTGGTTTGAAAGCTTACAGCTGAGCAAGGGTCATTCCCATAGCTGTTGAGCAGAGGTGATGGAGGAAGAGAAGGAACTTCCAATAAACCTGTGTCTGTCCTGAGATAGCTTAAATGTAGCAGAAAACTACATTTGTGAGAAGTTGAAGAATTCCTTCCTATATTGTCCTGCTGCTCTCTCCTTTTTCTTGCTGAATTCATACTGCTTATGTTTTGGTGCAAAATAAGACCTGTTTGAAAAGATTCCTAAACAAAGCTGAGGAAAACATTATCTGTTCTCTGGAGAAAATATCAAAGATGTTTTTTTTCATTGTAAAATAGTCTTGGAATTGAGTGAACGATTTAGGGAAGACTTTTTGTTGTTGTTTGTTTGTTTGTTTTCTTATTTATGTACTGCTTTCTCCTTTTCCATCACAGTGTGAAGAAAATGTAGGTACACAGGTTATAGTTTTGAGGTTCAAAGATATGCATCTAGCCTTTCAATAAGTTGGGTGTTTTCTGCTTCAAAGATTCTGCAGATTATTAAGAGTATTTGGCTTAAATACCTTGCACACCATTCCCTGTCATTTTTTTCTCTCCTGTCAAACAACTTGGCAGTTGTTTTGTGAATGTTAGCTTTATTGGTATCTGGTAACTATTTTTGATGCATTAAGTTTTATGTTTAAGGACTTTTGGGAAAAAAAAAGGAAGCTGGCTGAATCTGGAATGTTTTTGAATAATCTCAGTTTAGGAAAATTGCTCGTGAAAACTTGAAGGCCTTTTATGTATTCCTGGTGTTGCTTCTGTCTAATTGCTCTTGTGCAATGTTTTCAGATCTTAGAGTTCTGAAAAGTCAATGAAGATTTATATATATATATATATATGTATTATATCTAGATGTTTTCTTTAGGAAAATAGTCTGCAAAATTTAGAGAAATGCCAAATACTGAATTACTCCTTAGAAAAGGGGGAAAGATGTGAATTGTCTAATTTTGTAGGTGTAACATACCAAGTGCTATTAATTAAAAAGTTTTCACTGTAGTTATTGCATATGCAGTACATAAGAGACAATGTAGGTCCCATCTGTGTTTTGATTAGGTCTGAGATACCAGCCTGTAATAAAAGCATCCAGAGTCTGAAAGATGTCTCTTTCTAATTTTAAGCCTGTGAGTGATATTTATCTGAGATAGATACCTCTTGAAATAGGTGCATCTTGAAAATAACGTGAAGCTCATTTATAGACTTCATGGTTATTGTCTTTAAAGGGAGATTTGGAACTTGCATAATTAATTACTCCAAGGTAGAATTTTACAAGTACATTTTTTTCTCTTCGCAGCTGGAGGATGGACACACTTTATTTGACTACAATGTTGGACTGAATGACATAGTTCAGCTTTTGATACGTTCTGAATCTGAAGCATCTACCACTGTTCCTGGTACAGATCAGGATGGAGAGGTCAACCCCTGTGCTGTATCCAACTGTAAGAACAAAGTCAAAAAGACAACTGGTAGTGGATCTCCCAATCAGCCATCAACATCATCTCGCTCATTTCTAATTGATCCCGGCATTGGACTGTACAAGGTATGTGCAAGCAACTAATTTTGGGAATTTAGTGCACATCTGCCAGTTCAATTTTATTGTCTATAAAGGCCTGTATCCTTATTAGTTGCTATAATTATTGTTTTTAAATTTGACTTCAGTGGAATTGCACAGGGCTTTGGTAGGTATCTCTAAAGTTCTCTGAAGATGACTTCACTGATCATAGAATCATAGAATCATCGAATGCTTAAGGTTGGAAGGGACCTCTAGTGATCATCTAGTCCAACCCCCCTGCACACACAGGGTCACCTAGAGCACGTGGCACAGGGTGGCATCCAAGCGGGTTTTGAAGATCTCCAGAGAAGGAGACTCCACAACCTCTCTGGGCAGCCTGTTCCAGTGCTCTGTCACCCTCACTGTCAGGAAATTTTCCCTTAAGTTCATGTTGAACTTTTCGTGCTTCAGTTTGTGGCCATTACCTCTAGTTCTGTCAGTGGCCATCAGTGAAAAGAGGCCAGCATCCTCCCCACTCCCTCCCTTGAGGTACTTCTAGACACTGCTCAGGTCCCCTCTCAGCCTTCTCTTCTCCAGGCTGAACAGGCCCAGCTCCCTCAGCCTCTCCTTGTAGGGCAGATGTTCCAGGCCCCTGATCATCCTTGTGGCCCTGCGCTCTTCTTAATGCACCCCAGGATCCCATTGGCCTTCTTGGTCACGAGGGCACACTGCTGCCTCATGGTCAACTTGTCAGGTCCTTCTCTGCAGAGCTGATAGATGAATTTCCACAAATTAAACAAATGTTAATGGAGGTAATTATTTAAATTAATTGAGGAATTTATTTAAAAATATAACTACTTTAAGCCTAAAAGATGGTGTTTCATTTTCAGATTACAGAGAATAAATATGCTAGGACAGAATTCAGGAGTGATTGATTCAGTAATTCAGAAGCAGTTGATAATGTGGCACACAGCACTACCAAAAAAGCTAAGCATCTGTTTGTAGTTAGGTATCATTAAACCTGAGTAATCTGTTGGAAAATTGATTTTTCAATTTCAAGTAGTTTGAGGGCAGTATTGAAGTCAAGCTTTCTAATGTAAACCTTGAAGCCGACTCTTGCAGACTCGTAGAAGTGTTTCTTTACCAGTCTGTTGTCAGTGTTGCAGGTTACAGCAGGGCTCAAAATCTCCAACATAGTACTGGCTGATTCTATATTCTTCAGTAAATTCTGGAGCACCTCTGAGACATGAGGTAGCCAGTGCAAAAAATCTGTCCAAAACAAAACAAAAACAAAACAAATAGTTTCACTCTATTTGCCTCCCAAAGTTGTCCATTAGAAGAAACTGGGTGAGCAGTGAATAAAAATTGCTGTGTGTTTCAAGTAGGGTAAATGTCTTAAAAAGGGTGAGGAGAGAATTCAGAGAGGACTCCTTGACAGATCTTATATGAATAGTAAGTCGTATATTTGATTACAATAGGTCTTGATTAGAATTAGTAGTTGCAGTTGTGCTTGTTTATCAATCTACACAGTCCAAGGAAAATAAAAATACATTTTTTTAATCTATTCTCTATCAATGCAAGCTGAGAAGAAGAAAAATGGAAGTACATGCTGCTTTTTAACTTTGTGATGCAGCATTTTTTATAATAGTTTGTTCAGGAATCATGTATATTATATTTATTGTTAGTTTTGTACCTAATCAGATTTTACCATATTATCAGGTAGGATTGCACCAGAGTACCCTAAGTTTACTTCAAACAGAAAAAGGGCAATTACAGGATTTCTGTATAAAGGTAGCACTTTCTCTGCTCTTCAGGTGTTTCTCTCAGGTATGGAATATCATTATATCATTGTCAGTAATTATTTTGCTAGAAAGGGTCCAAAATTACAAAAAAAAAAAGAGAGAGAGACTATGATTGCTATACGGATTTAGAGGAATGTTCTTATTTAGCTCCATCATACTGATACAAAACTGTCTTAATTTCATTTAAAATCTTAGTCAATGTTTCAGGTATTAATGACAAGTAATAATTTACTCCTTCCTAGTTCTAGCAGTATTTTGTGCAAGGAATATTTTAGCACCTTGTAAAGAAGGGAGTCAGAAAATTAGCATATTAAGTACAATGACATGATCTTGCAGACACCCTCTTCTCCCTTCTCCTATGACTCCTTACAGTGTAAAAAAAAAACATTTCTTCAGTTGTTATGCTATACGATTTACACTCCTTGTTGATTAATTGCAATATGAGAAATAATGAGGGAGAAAAATGGGAAGCTGGAAGGCTACAAGAAGTGGATTGATTGCTGAAGCTAACAGTGCTATCAGCTTATCTCTTAGCTGTCTTTGGTTTAAAACAGAAAACAGAACAAGTGAAGGTGAGATTGGATGAGGTATTCAAGAAAACCCCTTGTGTCTAGTCAGGTGAAAATTTGCTGTCTCTAATACTAGGAACCTAACACTTCCTCCATTCTTTTCAGTGACTTAATTTCCTTTTTCTTTGTCGGAAATTACAGATTAGTAATAATAATATTATTGCCAGATGGTTAAAATAGTGACCTAAACAGAATTCCTCTGTGTAGTTACAAAGACCATAATGCTGTACCTGGTAGCTCCAGGTATTCCAGTTGCTCATGGTCACTAATGTGAGCATGGGTCCTGAAGGACTGCAAAGGGGGAGCCATGCTCCTCTCCTTGTCTTTGGGCCTGAGATTGTTAATGGTGTCTGTTTTTAAAAACGGGATATTATTAGCTCTTTGTAAGCAGTATTTAACCATAGCTGGTTTTAATTACGGATCCAATTTTGACTAGAGCTCAAGATTTTCTCTAGAAGTTTAAGAAGCCTTCTCAAGAGTATGAGGCGGAAGCATTCACATCCCAGACTGAGCTTTGGCTTTTCTAACTCTCCACCCATGTGCCCAAGTAAAGCTACTCCCTTCTAGCCCTTGCTTGCTGTACGTGTTGTATTTCTGCGTTTGGCACTAAAGATCGTGAAGTCATGGACACACTTGCTCAAGCAAGCTAGTATCTTGATATGTCTGTCAGCTCGTTTTCCTGAGCATGAGAATGGGCTTTCCTAGTGCCCCTAAAGTCTGTCAGCTCTCTTGAGCTCCTTTGCCTGCAGGATTCCCCTGCCAGTTCCTCGACTAAGCTGAGGTCTACTCTCCTCGAATCCCGTATTCACAAAATTGTGGAATCACAGAGTGGTGGAGGTTGGATGGGACCTCTAGAGATCATCTAGTCCAACCCTGTGCTCCAGGAGGGACACCCAGAGCACATGGCATTCAGGAGGATTTTGAAGATCTTGAGAGAAGACTCCACAGCCTCTCTGGGCAGCCTGTTTCAGGGCTCTGTCACCATCACAGTAAAGAAGTTCTTCCTCACATGGAGACGGAACTTCCTGTGTTTCAATTTTCCTGTTGCTGGCCATCCCTGAGAAGAGTTTGGCTCCATCCTCTTTACATTTACCTCTCAGGTACTTATACATATTGGTCAGATCTCCTCTCAGTCTTCTCTAGGCTAAACAGGCCCAGCTCACTTTCCTCATATGATAGATGCTCCAGTCCCTTAATCATCTTTGTTGCTCTGTTGCTTTGTTGCTCTATGCTGGACCTTCTCTAGAAGTTCCCTGTCCCAGGATCCCATTGGCCTTCTTGCCCATGAAGGCACATTGCTGGCTCATGGTTAACTTGTTGTCAACCAGGACTCCCAAATCCCTCCCTATAGAGCTGCTTTCCAGCAGGTCAATCCCTAATTTGTCCTGGTGCCTGGGGTTATTCCTCCTCAGGTGCAGACCCTGCACTTGTTGTTGTTGAATCTTATGAGGTTCCTCTCTGCCCAACTCTCCATCCTGTCCAGGTCCCCCTGAATGGTAGCACAGCCCTTGGGTATGTCGAACACTCAGTTTGGTGTCATCTGCAAACTTGCTGAGGGTGCCCTCTGTGCCCTCATCCAAGTCATTGATGAACAAGTTGAACAGCACTGGGCCCAGTACTGACCCCTGTACT